CGTGTTTCATAAAGTTAAGGTGTTGCTCCGGAATCGAAGGAGGTGTCGCCAAGCCTTGTGAGTTTGCTGGTGAACCCCAAAGTGCCCCGATTTGAGCTAAACTAGCACTAGGAGACTGTCTAGTGCGTACCCACACGACAGTAAGTATCGAAAAGTTATTTGAGCAATAAAGAACTTTTGACAGATAAACTAGATATTTTTGTTTTGTGATTTTTCTTTATAAAATAAAATATAATATTAACTAAGGTCTTTTAGTAAACTTGTATTATACCGATAATAAGTTCGATGGTTATATTAAAAAACAACCTAAATTATTCGATAATTGGTGAAAATTAAAGAATGGCTTGAATGATTAATAAACGACATCTGTGGTAAAATCAGTAAACTAGGTAAATATAGTTCTTTGTTTTCTTTTTCTTTAATGTCGTGAACAAATAAAGAACAAATAAAGATATAAACCGAAAAAAATCCAACATTGTAATACAAATCATTATTGTCATCATTATCGCTATTGTTATTAACAAAATCAGGATTTGTGTAGTCGTCCGAATTGTCCAGATCGCAATCTTGGTATGCGTTATGTAAAGTTTAATACGTCATCAGGAATAGTAAACTAATTTATGAATACCGCACAAATAGTAAGCGATGCAGCTCAACTTTTTTTCATTATCCAGCATGGTTGTTCAACAATCTATGAAAATGTAAAGTATATAAAAAGATCTATTTAGTATTGCCGAACGTGTAGAAATCGCGCAATATGTTGTGAAATATATGCAACGACAAATCAAGCTAAAAAAAAAATAATTATAAACTCAGATTAGATTTATTAATATTTTAGAGAATTATAAGAAATTTGCTAAAACATTACGTAATTATTATGCTTTCAAAAATTTACAAATTTTAACGCAATTAAAGATAAATTTGATAAGAATGTCAAAATTTGAAGAGGTATATAGTGTCTGAATTATATCATAGCAATATATGGCGTTGAACGAAGAGAACAAGGAATTAAAAGTGTAGCCGAAGACATTGATGTTTTGGAAAAGGTATTGTTATTTCAAAAAGATTTATTTTCATAACATATACCGTAATAATTTACGTGGTTTAAATTTGTAAATTCTAAATGGTCTGAATAGTTTATGGATGAATTGAAATCTAACCCCAAAGTAGAGTTATTGCGTTAGCATCAAAATAAATGAGGCATATGAAGCACCATGCTAGATCCAAGTCAATTAAATTATTCATTTTTTTGCATCAGATGATAATGTTAGTGGTAGCAGTAATACTTCGTGGCGGGGACTTGTAAAATAGTTAATAAATTTCAAAAGATTAAGCATTTTGCATAAATCAGGTTGTGTCCGAATGTTATCCATTTTTATGGTATTTCGAATGTGAATGATAATAATGTAATTATTTTTAACTGAAGCAAAATACGGTAATTTAAAGAGATGTATACAAAATATGAAATTAAATTACTCATGATAAATACAAATGATCTTATATCGACGGCATTCGCTGTGAAAATATCCTGGTATGAAAGTTCAATAATGTCTTTAATATCTATTGTACACCTTAAGAAATTTCGCAATAACGATAATAATTTCTATGCAATTCTAGATTATGGATAATTGTGTGACTAAACTTTCGAATTTTGAACTGAATCATACTATTCAAGCGGTTTCTGCGGACATTAGAGACTTTTCAGAAATTGTAATATGGTTAGCTCCAGAAAAATGTGTAATGAAAAGTGGAACCAAACAACAATCATCAGAGTGAATGTTCAGGTAAATACAAATTAAAATTTTATTAATATAATAAAAATTTCCTTTTAAGTTCATAAGCATAAAGCTAATGGTGCAATACTTTATGATTTTGGAATGATGCTCTGGAAACTTTATTATCAAAAACTCCTTATGAAGGCATAAAAAGTATGACCGCTATTCGAAAACATGTCTCGTGAAATCCTTAATATCGCATTTTACAGTATCAAAAAATCTCTAGTGAAATTGCCAAAATCATTAAAATAGGTAAATATGATACTTTTTATTCATATTGATATGTTATTAGTAAGTTCTTAACTGAAATAATTTTTGGTTATAAAAGTTTGGGATGACGAACTTTCTGCGCGTCCTTTAGACTTATAAGTGCAATTTAAATTAAAAGAACTCTATGAGCGTTTTTATGAGCATTTGAAAGAAATTCTTCTCGAGTACGTCCTAAGGATCCTCTTTATGACATTGAAATAAGGTTTTTAAATTGATGAAATAACAAATAAAAATGCCACTTAACTTAATAGAATATTCAATACCTCCACCAACCTTGATATCTTTTGAAGATGATATCAAAGAACATCAAGCTAAAACTATAAGGTTTCTTGGGAATGCTTTAATGGTCATGCAAATATTGGAAGTAACGAAGCTAAATATTGGAAGGGTTATTATCTGTTAACTGGAATAAACGGATCTAAATATCCTGAAGCAGCTCTCTGTCTCTTTAAGGAAGCGGCGGATAATGTTATTGCCGATGCTCGACTTCGTTACGCGTTTGTGGCTGCAGACTTAGATTAGCTGCTTTAAAAATCAACCTAATGACTAATGTAATGTTGCTTTTAGAAAAACTTTGTGTAAATTTATAATACGCATTGTAATGCATGATACAATTGTAAAAATATTACTCTTTACCTGAGAGTATACGTATACGATACTGTAAATACTATATATATATATAAATATCAGTGTCCAATCAAAGCCATCTTGAATTTACGGGTGACTCTCGATATGAATGCAACCAAGGGAAAACCCGTCAGTCAGTTTATCTTGCCGAACTTAGCCTCTGATTGCATTATGATAATGATATAGCGGTAGTAATTTTAGTCGGTAATATCAGATATTTGGTTATAGATGGTGCTACCAAAAATGATCAGAACGACAGTGATCACGAATAATGCAATCAGGTTTTTTGAGGCTGAGTTCAATCAGGCGAAAATTAAAATCAGATTTACAGGTTTCCTTTGTAGCACTCATTCATATATGAGATAACTAAATCCAATTAGAATCAACGGCCATCCGAAATTTTACCACACAAAAGCCAAGTACATCTTGAGATTACCCGACATTTGATTGAAAATTGTCATCCTGATATTTTTTATTAGTGTATTGAGTAGATTTAGGACGTTCGTTCTCGTATTTTTTTTTTATTTTTTTTATTTTTCATTTCATTTTTGTTTTGGCCAACTATGTATATTTTGTTTTCTCTAATTGTAATGTCTCGTTGAATTCGGTTCAGATTACGTCTTAATTAGACAGATAAAAATTAGCAAACCATTACGGTTCTCTGTTCTGCCTTTTAACTACATTAATGAATTTCGACCAATAAAAATCAAGAAACGTGATCAAGACCAAATAAAACGATCTGCACTTTTTGATAAACATTTTTTAAAGACGACTCATTCTATCACATGAAATAATCAGCAAGGCACCTGAAAGCTGTTCTCAGGGCAAAATGATTGACAAAAATGATACAATTTTGTATAAGATAAACAGTGTGAAATATGATCAACATATAATTCAAGGCTTAATTCTTGAAATATTGTCGCCGATCTGCGATATTCAAAGAAATTAACCTTAAACGTGTTAGCAATAAAAATACGTTAATTACTTAATTCCAAAAAAGATAATTGCATTATAATTATCCTAAAATGGGTACAAAAGTTAGAGAAAAACACATGAACTGCAAAGAAGGATTGTGTCGGATCGATAATTTAGATCGCAAATGAGATCAAATTACTTTAAAAAGTTAGTGCAGAGAAATTCCACGTATGTATTAAGGTACGGTTCTTATGAAAGTGCCAAAATTAAACATGTGATATAAAAATCAATTTTTTCTTTACGTATTATTATAAAGTCAATATATTTTTGAATAAAATTATTCAAAGTTTTCGATTTGCTCCTTAATAAAAAGCCATGTAAGTAATTAGCCGTGGGCGTGGTAAAAGATCTAGAATTAACAAAATTAATGACAAGATTCAACACAAAATTAGAATACTATATAAGCAATAACGAAAATTCTATTATCAATAAGAGGCTTCACTAATCGTTGTTAGAGAAAATAAATTTTTTGCATGTTATTGTGAAATGTCTTTTTTTTTAACATGACACGGATAAACATGAATATGGTTATAAAAATCTTTAGGGATTGATTTTTTACCACTTAACCGATAAAATAGATACTAATGAAGGGTACATGCGAAGGGTACTTCTAAACTGAGTGAGATTTTAAGGCTTTGCATAATGAATTTTGATTTAGCCACATTATTAAAAAATGTTGGTGTTTCTAAAAGTGTTTCTACACGCGATCATGCACAAAGCATAACAATTTCGATCTTACATTTGTTTGATTAGTTTTTATCGAGAAGATATAAACATTAGATCTTGTATCAAAGCCTTTTGAAAGCAATGTTGGCAAAGCCTTTCCGATAATGTTCATGAAGAGGCTTGGTATTATTGATTTTACAAAAATCAAAGCTTGCTACGCCTAAATCATTATATCGTAAAAAAGTTTATAAAACTTTCCCTTGACAAGTACGTACGTATTCAAGCATATATTCATTTTTTTTTCTTGATACCCTTAAAAAAGTTTAGAGATTATTTATTTTTTTTATTGTTATTAATAACAAAAATGAAAATTTCATTTATCGTATTATTATGTATCGCGCTCTTCGCTTCAACATTTGTTTTGGCATTACCAGCTCCTCGACCCCAAACAGGTTCTTCTAGTAGTAGTGGTTCAAAGAAAACTCAGTCGAATTTTACACCTTCAACTTCTCAAGGAGAGGCGTGGCACCCTGCATCTCAAATTAATGTTACTGCACCAACATTGAATCAATGTTTTAAACAGAATTCAGATATTACTGTTACCTGGACTACTTCACTTACTACTGGTACATTTTCTTTATGATAATTTTTCATTTTCTAACTTTAATGAATTAATAAAAAAAAAACCTTTAAATATTATAGATAAAGTACTTGTCAAAATACTATCGTATTCGAATCCTTCATTTAGTCTTGGCTTAGATCCCAATAATGTTGTTGTAAGTACCAATTTATCATCGTATTCACAAATTATTATATATATCACCACATTTACAAATGATCTACAAACTGACAGGCGGCGTCTGCTGGACAATTCACAATAAAAACTACCTCCGATTGGCCTATTGGATCATATATGGCAATGGTTCAATTAGTAAGTGATGAAGAAGTATATGGAACTAGTGGAGGTTTTCAAATTTGTAATACGACGCAAAGTACGAAAAAAATAACGTCATACAATTAAATTTACAAAAATAGATTTTAATCTTTTTATTAGAGAAAATTCTTTTATACTTGATTTTAGATTTTTTAATTTTTTTTTTGTAAATAAAGACTTATTAATGTTTCAATTTTAATCTGTTATCCTAAGATTGCAAATAGCACATGTTTATTTATATTGTCTACAAATAAAAATAAAAAAATAATTAAAATTATTCCCTATACGTAGTAGGCACTATTTTGCCACTACATTCACCAAATCCAACTTTAAATCCTTCTCCTTGACAATATCCTGTCAACACAACTTCGTCTCCATCTTCTACAAACATTCGTTTAACTCCATTGCCGAAATCAATTTCTTTTTCTCCATTCCATGTAATTTCTAACAATGATCCTCTTGCATCTTCAGTCTAAAGACGAAATAATTATAATTTAAAATACGTTAAAAAAAAAAAAAGAAAAAAAAAAAATGCGTAAAAGATATAAAATAAAAATGCAACTCACCGGGCCACTTATAGTACCGGTGCCACATAAATCACCTGCGCCCATGTTGCAGCCATTGACTGTATGATGTGCGAGCTGTTGACAAATAGACCAATACATATATTTTAAGTTTGAACGAGTTAAGGTTTTATGAGTACTACAATCGCGTGCTATAAAATTATGTTTAGAATTAATACAATATTTTCGCAAAATAAATAATTAACTTTTTTTAATATATATTACGTTTCATTTTAACTTCAAGATTAATATCATATGCGGTTTTTCCTTTTTCTTGAAGATATGGAAGTGGTGTAGGATCCTGAATTTTTCATTATAAATATTATTATTACCATAAATAAAATAACATAATAATAATAATAATAATAATAATATAATAATAATGATTATAACCTGACAAGGACCATCTACCAGGAAAGGTTCCAAGGCATCAAGTGTGACAATCCATGGTGAAATCGTGGTTCCAAAACTTTTACCAAGGAAGGGACCTATATGATATAGAAATTTAATTTTCATATGGATCATTGAAATTTGATTTAAAAAAAATACAAGAGTACATACCTAACGGAGCATATTCCCATGCTGTTCATATATTGTTAAATAATATGTTTATCAAATATTTAATTTATTCTTTGCGAAATAATACTCATGAATACTCGTAATATTTTTATTTATAATTAATTACCTTGTATATCTCTGGCTATTTTATAAAGAACAAGTATTAGCCATGAAAATGGAAATATTATGAATTACATAATTAAAATAATAATAATAATAATAATAATAATTTACCACTCCAATCATTCATCAAAACCATGCCAAAAATGTGATCTTTTGTTTGTTGGATTGGAATTCTCTCACCAAGTTTGTTGCCAGTACCAACGAAAAATGCCTTTACAAAAAATGACAATGTATTATATCAATAAATGCATTTGAGCCGGTATTTCCACATCCCTATGTGGATCATCTTTTTTAAAAATTTTTAATCAAAGGTAGCTCGATCTATCCAACTAAATTTGGTGAATTTTTTTTTATTTGAATTCTACACAACTGCAGTATTCAAATAAATAAAAAAATTCATCGAAATTGGTTGGGCTGAGACACTTTCGATCAAATATTTAAAAAAAATTTTATACGTTTATCAAAATCTTAGCTGCGGCAAACTTTTACATAACTTTGATCGAAGGTATCTTAGCATCCACTCAACTAATTTCGATGAATTTTTTTTTTATTATTTGAATTATATAGCTCTGTAGAATTCAAATAAAAAAAAATTCATCGAAATTGACCGGGTGGGTGCTGAGATACCTTTGATCAAAGATTTAAAAAAATTTAAACATCTACAATATCAAAAACGTTAGCTGCGACAAAAGTTTACTTGATCAAAGGTATCCTAGCATCAGCGTTGGAAATCATATGTTCACTGTGTTCACAAGAGCGTAAATTTTTTTAAAAAATCAATTTTTTTATTTTATGTTCACATTTGTGAACATAAATAACTTAATTTTTTTAACGTAAACATAATAAAAAACAATAGAAATCGTCATACTGTCTTTTGAACTTCCAGCACTGCTCAGCACCCACTCAACCAATTTTGATGAATTTTTTTTTTTATTTCGACCTCTACAGTTCTGTAGAATTCAAATAAAAAAAAAATTCATCGAAATTTGGTCGAGTGAGAACTGAGATACCTTTAATCAAAGATTTAAAAATCTATAAAAAATATTAGCTGCGGCAGAAGCTTGCTTAACTTTGATCAACGGTATTTCAGCACCCACCCAACCAATTTCAATGAAATTTTTTTTTTATTGACTTCTACATCTGTACAATTAAAATAAAAAACATTCATCAAAGTTGGTCAGGTGGGCGTTGAGATACCTTCGATCAAAAATTTTAGTTGCGGCAAAATTTTACTTAATTTGTGATCCGCCAATTTCCTTTTCTGGAATTTGGAGTTTCCCAAAGGATAAATCGATTTTTTTTACTAAGCAAATCTCTCTCCAACTTCTAACTAAAGTTGTAGAGGAGAGAAATTTCGAGCATAATGGTAGTTTAAACGTTAAAATCGGCCCAGAGAATCATGAGATATGCGCATTTCAGTCTTTGCGACTATATCTTTATTACACAAAGAAGTCGCGAAGACAAAAATGCCCATATCTGACAACTCACTGGACCGATTTTAACGTTTCAACTACCATTATGCTAGAAATTCTCTCCTCTACAACTTTGGAGAGAGGTTTGTTTAGTAAAAAATCGATTTATCCTTTGGGAAACTCCAGATTCTAAAAAAGGCAAAAAACAATAGTAAATTTCCCCACGGTTTACTATGTTTTTTCTCTGGTTCCTTGGCGGATCACGAATTAACTTTAATCGAAGGTATCTCAGCACACACCCAACCAATTTCAATGAATTTTTTCTTATTTGAATTCTACAGTTCTGTAGAATTCGAAAAAAAAAAAAATTCATCAAATTTGGTTGGGTAATTATCGAGCTACCTTTGATTAAAATTTTAAAAAAGCTTGAATTAATGATAAAACTGTATAATAATATATTTTTTACCATTTCCAATTCAATGTCTAATTTTACAGATGGTCCAAAAACCGGAGGTTGACCTTTTCCTGGTGATCTTTGGCCACTTGGACGTGCAAGATCTGTTCCAGAGACAACAACAGAGGAAGCCCTACCATGATATCCAACTGGTAAATGAAGCCTATATAAAAATTTAAATACTTTTTATTAGTTGTTTTTTCCAAAATAGTAAAAAAAAAATTATAAAATTTTTTTTAAATTTACTAACCAGTTTGGCATCAATGCATTATCTTTTCCTCTCAACATAACACCACAATTAGTTGCGTGTTCTTTTGAAGCATAAAAATCCGTAAAATGACCAATATTAACAGGTAAATGCATTTTTGCACGATGTTGAGAAACAAATGCATTTGCTCGAAGTTCTTTGCTATCACGTAATTCTGGATTATCTTCGGATAAGATGGATTGTAGGAATTTTCGTGTAGCTTGCCATACTGGTTTTCCCAACGACATAAACATATTTAACGATGACTGCACCAATATTTAATAATGATCTTGTCTTTTTAATAATTTATGTTACTTAAATTTTATATATAAAAAAAAAAAAATGTTTGTTACCTGTGAAAAAACCAATGTTGGATTACCTAATTCTGGAACATGTTTTTCAAATAATTGAGATATAGCTGTCAGGTCTAAAATTTGGTCGCCTATAGCGACGCCAACACGAGCGGATAACTATAGATAAAAAAAATCATAGTAACGACCTTATTGTAAAAAAAAAAAAAAAATCTCTTATGCAGCTTGTGTTTGAATTACTTACAATTTCATCACTTTGGGTTGAAAAAATCCCAAATGGCAAATTTTGGATTGAAAAATGAGAATCTGGTGAAACATCGATAAAAGACCTCATTCTTGATAATTTTACAGTTTTATGTGGTGAAAAAGGTGGTTTAAATAATTAAAATTAATAACGATAATCCTTTTTTTTTTTATATTGTTTAATAAATATATATGTGCGTAATGTCAATCATACTTGATTAAGATAAATTCAAAACTCTATTTTAGTAATTCAAAACTAAAGGGGTAATTTTAATGCACATTTACGTAAATATCATTATAAAATCCGATTTATAAATTTTACTGCCTCTTTTTACCGTGAGGGTCCGGAGGGGTCCCAAATAGAGCCGAATAAGCAATAACATATTTAACTCAAAGAGGACTTTTCTTTATGAGGCCACTTAACCCAGTTATTCGCTCTATTTTAAAGGACCTTAATTTTAAAAAAGTATATACTGTATTTGGCATCAAATAGGTTAGTCGTTGTCCAGATCACGCGATCAATGATTGCTTCCGGACTAATGATTTAAGCCGTAAGGTTTTAGTTGGCTGGCTAAACCAGCCGACTAAAATGTTGGCTAATCGGCTGGCTAACGGCTGACAAATACTTTCCATTTTCCTTTTCGGAATTTACTGGAATCTACTGTATACTAAATCATATGATCTTTAGCCGCATTAGCCAGTCGATCATATTACATTGGCTGGCTCGGCCGGCTAAGCCAGCTTGGCCGTGGCTGCCATAGCCGCCTTAAAACACTATTCCGGACTATGACGTAGTCCGATAAAATCATAAAAGTAACATATATCGATATCATTGACTCTTAATCTCTATAAATTAAAAATATTAAGTTTATACCCGGGGATATTGATATCCGCCCTCATTTTATAATTATTTTTTGCTAAAAAAATAAGGTTCTACTAAATTTTAAGGTTAGGTGCGGTTTTTGGGATCAATAGAAGGGTTAAATATAATCAAGCATGTAAAGTTAATTAATTGTAATTGGTTCTCGTACCCGGCAGGGTCAAATTTCGAAAATTTTTGGACAATTTTAACGCTCACCAGAGGTGAAATTCACCGGGGGTGCAGCATCTTAAAAACGTACTAAGTAATTAATGTTCGGGACCCTGAAAACCTCATGAAACTAATCTACATTATGTTACATAAAACTCCTCTTTTATCCTAAACTACACCCTAACCCTAAAAACTCTTAGAATGGTGAATTTCACCATCGATGAATATTAAATAAATAAATTCAAAAATTTTTATAACCGGGTAAAAAAATTTTATAAATTGTTATAAGGTGAATAAGGGTAATTTGGTGAAGTTAGTAAAAATTCCACATAACTCGTTATTTATTGGTCCTGGCTAATGATGCCTGATGAGTGACGAAATAGTTTTGTCTAGACGAATGACGAAACCATTTCGTCAGGTAACTTCGAATTGACGAATGACGAATGACGAAACTCGTGACGAATGATGAAACTTGTGACAAATGACGAAACTCGTGACGAATGACGAAACTCATGATGAATGACGAAACTCATGATGAATGACGAATAACAAAACGCATAATTAATCATGAATTTTATATGTAATATAGCATTAAGCATAATAAATATATAAGGAAAAATGAAAATGTGATTTTCTTTTAGAAATCATGATGTTCAATATTACTCTACCCGGTTTCTATTTTTATCCACATTTTCTGAACAGGAGAGAACGTCCCAAATATGGAAATGACGATCCGATTGTTACACAATTATTAAAGAAAATTTTTTATACGTT